CTAGGACTTGCTATAGTACTGTAGGGCTTAAAATCAAGATATAGGCCTTGAAAAAGCAGTGGGACTGCTATAACGAGGGAGTTGCAGAGACGAGCTATTGCTTTGTCCTATAAACCTAGACCTAGGACTCCTAATATCTCTCTTAGCTTTTGTTTGAACACTATATCTGCCGGCGTTGTCGTGTTGTTGCATTTTCAGAATCTCAGATTTCGGCCTGATTTGGCCTGATCAGGATGGCTGTCTGATCAGGTTGCTTATCAAACACGTTAAAGTCAGCCTACGCAACGTGTTGGATTGTTGTCCCTCGTCGTAGACAACTCGTGCAATGTGAACAGTCATGGATGCTGAATAGAATTTGAATCAAATGTGTATGCGATCAAGATCGTAATATTTCGCTCAAGAGAGGATCTCCCATGCATGTGCTACGCTAAAATTGCTACGACAAAAACGTTTCTACGTCAAACCACTCAACGCTTCTTCGCCTTGGAAGCAGCTCTTCTAAGCTCCATCTCCCTCTTCCGGAACTCACTCCTCTTCTCCTCCAAAGCAACATTAGCAGCAAACACATAATTCGTGAACTGGTACTCTGTCGCCTCAGACATGAGACTCCAAGTTCCATCGTTGTCTCTCGAGTTGACATTATAGCTGCCAGAAGTGCACATCAAAGCACACTGATCATTTTCAGTCGCTTCGATCCTGCAGTCCACGGCGTCATTACCACCACCGCCTTGTGTAGCGACGATGTGGACACCGTCGTCAGGGTTGCCAGTTTGCATGCCGTCTGCGTCGTGATTTTTGCCGACGACGACGTAGTTCTCAAGAGTACCTTCTTGGTCGTCCAAGTCGGCAACGCTAAGAGTCTGGCCGTCAAGCTTGAAGACAGTGGGGGCCCACTCGTCGTCTGCGGAGTTGAAGTCGTACTGGACGTGGTAGAAGACCTCATCCGAATCTGCGGGCCATTCAACAAAGTGGCGAGAATCTTCCTCGTAGTTGTCGGCAATGTAGAAACCTGTCGGGATGGACGCGATCGTCCGTGTCACAATGGACTCGACGGTGTGCATGATAGTCGACGTGCTGACCAGCTTCTTTTGCCTTGTGAGGGTGGTAGTGCGGATTTGTGTTGTAACAGCTGTAGGCGTAACGGTCGTGGTGGAAACGAGGCTGCGATTGATCGTGAGGGTTCGAGTCGACGTGGCTTGAACCACCGCTGTGGTGGTAGTTGGGGTAGGAATCGCACATCGGCAGGCAGAGGATGTCTGAGCGGCGTTGGTCGCTCGAACGCAGGTAGGCTTGGGCAAAGTTCCGCTTGCTTGACGTTTGAACATGGCATTGGCCCTGGATCCGTTGTTTGCAGTAGGTCCTACTACCGTCTCACCAGTGAAATGGTAGTATCTCCATTGACCTGGTTGCATCGGATTCCATCTCCCGGGCCGACCCACAACAATATTGCAATTATTTCCACCCAACCAATTGAACCCGGCACATTTTTTCGTCTGTCGACACTGTGCAGCGCAAGCCTCAACAGTGGGCGTATCGACAGGAGGATTATACCGAATGGGGTAATCGTTTGAAATAGTTGCATCGGCGTGACCCCAGCAGGACTTATAAGTTCGACGTACGCCGTCGACATCCACGTAGTGATCTTCTTGCGTGGATGTGCATTGTTCTGGTAGTGCTGCAACTGGATCGGTTCTACCGACGAGATGGTGATAATACCAAGGCGCTGCGACGGGGTTCTCGAAAGTCTGCAGCCTGCCCACGCCTCCGACGGCGACATTGCATGTACCAGGGTTGTTCGTGGCCCAATTGAAGCCCGCGCAACGGTCCTCATAGCGGCAGAATTTTGCACATTCATCGAAGCTGGACACATCCACGTTGGCATCACGATTTACACCGATCGTTGAGTCGCCGTGACCTGGGCAGCGAATATACTCGTAGGATTCGCCATTGGAATCGGTATAAACATGACGTGATTGCTCCACGCAGGCGGCTGGCTTTTCACGAGGTTGCCACGCGGGGTCTGCTGGCGTCGTTGGTTCTTCTCCTTCTCCTCCTTCGACTGGTGGCTCAATCTCCGGAGCGACAGGTTGTGGTGGGATATAAACAGGGCAGCCTGTAATTGAGCCTGTAACAGGTATAGTCGTAGTGCTGTCAACAGTTGTCGTGCTGGTGGTTGTAGTCGTGATGATCGAAGTCTTCACAGAGCTGACTGTTCTGGTACTTGTTGGTGCGCTGAATGTCGAAGTAGACGTGTACATCGTGGATGTAGTCTGAACGGTCCTCCAGTTCACATTCGTCCGAGTTTGTGTGATTCTATTGTATCCTTGGTTTGTGCACCAGGCTCTCGCAGAGGTGCCTGCTGCTCCTGTACAGCTGGCAAGGTATGTGGCTGTACATGCTGCGTTGGCTTGTCGTTCAAAGAGCTGACCCAAAGGGTTCGCAGAAGCGGCGCCGATCAACAGAGCCAACTCAAGGAGCTGCATGGCTGCAAAACTTAGATGCGTGATAAGGATGTGAATGATCGAAGTGGACGCGACATTACCGTGTGTATATATCTTACTCTCGAAGATGTTGCCAACATCCAGATCTAGCCATGTGTCAACGCCCTGTCCATTGTTGGACTTCGCAAGCGATGGCTGTGAGTCGAGGCGTTCCACCGCGAGAGCCGGCATGTGCTAGACACAGCTTCTGGCGTGAGGCGTAGAAGGCGCAGAAGGCGCGTGGGCGCTTACTTTCCACGAGGTCGCCAGGAGCTACCTAGGTGGACTCCACGGTCTCTTGGCCTAGCCACAGACTTTTGAGGCTTGAGCATTGCTGCTCGTACATTATTGGTCCAGTTTGCGATAGTCCTGCAGGTGGACTGCACGACGCCAGCGACTTTGTGGGACGACCGACTTCTGCCCCGTCCGCTTTAGGATGGTGCCTACCGATCAATGCAATCTGGGCTCACGGACAACCTCTGAAGTGCAGCTTCTTGGCACCGCTAAGTCCAATAGTAGGCGTCTTAACGCAGATCAGTAGCGTGCTGGACGGCTCAGAACACGAAGTCCACCTCGCGTATAGCGATTGGAGGCTGCAGTGTGTGCGTTGTGCATACAGCAAACGCGCAGTCTAGTAAACCCGGTGACAAGCTACTGCTGCTGTCCACGATTTTGTCAAAAGTGTTCCCGTCCGAAGGGCTATCGGCGTTTGATTTGGGAAGGAGCAAAAGTCCTTGATCAGTGCATAACCTCGTGGGTGGGATCCAAGACATAATATGAAATTTTCGGGACGCAGCTTGCCGCTGCACTTTCACTTGCTGTGGCGCAAGACTCGCCAAACAGAGGGTCAGTGCAGCTGAGGTCTGGCTAATGCAGAACTCAACGCTGGACCGAATAGGTAAATGGAGCGAGCCTGCCAAGATGCTAGCCAAATCTAGATGCACCTTTGGCACCCACGTGGTTGCTGGTGCCATGGGGCGGTCTTCAGCGTGCAGACCATACGGACGTGCAATCACCGGTACTGTTCTTTGCTGACCTGTGTACCGATGGTGAAGGCTCACCTAGACGGCCAGATTGTTCTTTGTCATGCATCGTGGTAGTCAAGCGGCCTTCGCATCACAGCTGGAAGTTGGAGGTGGTACTTGCACTTGCGTGTGATGCAGGAGGTTCATCGAACCATCACAAAGTAGAGCTAGGACGTGCTTGAGCGCAATGTAAATTCGGTGGCCTTCGCATGTGACCTATTCGCTTCTTATTAGCAACACTGCGGTCCCTGCTTGTCTTCCAACCGGCGCGCGCGACTTCGGGAGCTCCGTGGTGCGTGGCTTTCTTGTGCGTGGCTCCGTAGCGTGTGGCTTTACGCACATAGCTTTAGCTTCACACTAACTGCCACTGTCTGCCAGTTGTGTTGTTGCAGAAGTCACCAGCGAGTCTTCAAGATTTGTTCCCAGATCGAAGCCATTGTCCAGCAGCCTCGCAATCTGAGTCGTCCTCCGTGAGCACCCTGGCAATTGGATTCAAAAAGCATACAGATGAGACCTCCTCACTCACCTCTTGCGGCCCGTTCCAATGCCATTTCAGTGATTTCTGCTTGATTTACCCGGGTGCTGTCATTGGTCGAATGCCACTCTGGGAAGGTCGCCATGGGCGGAAGAAGAATGCATGCAGAGCAAATATGAGTTTCTGCTTAGCTGTAGGCCACGGCAGAAGGTGCATGCACGCGTGTATTAGAGGGCTCTGCACTGCACGGCACGAGTCTTCGTCGCTCAGGGAGCAGGCAAGTCGCTCAGGTCTTGGAGAGAGAATAACGTCGAGCGATTGCTTCTCGCCTCCCATGCAGCAGCTGATGGCAGGAGTTTGACCTGGGCCGAGCTTATGAGCAAACAGATCACTCTCCTGTCACGGAGAAATAGCGCTTCCCGCCGCCAGCATACGGCGTTGATACAGAATGAGAGGCGAAGATTGAAACCTCAAGGCCTCGAATGCCGATGATTCGATGCGCTGCTCAAGCTGCGCGACTGTTGCACAGCTCCTGAGATGCACCGGTTTTTCGCCAACCGTCGAGAAGTGCAGTGTTGTCTGGAGACATCTCATTGGCCGCAGCGAGTCCAGCTATGGAAGGGCGACAGTGAGCAGCTTTGCTGAACCAGTTGAAACTGAAGAAGCAAGTGAGGCCCTGCCCTGCCCCCTTGTTTGTTGCCTGAACGGTCGCCTAAGCCGGCATTGAACCGAACGCAGCGCGTCACGCCCCGCGTCGTCCATATAAATACAAACACCCATTCACCTCGAGTGCAACGGTGGTCCGCAAGAACTGCCCAATTCTTGCGCGGCGTGCGCTGAAGAGATCGAGTTCGCGTCCGGTCAGTTTTGCTGACCAAACCAGATCTGCAGAACCATGAACCCCCCATACCGCGCGGCGCCTCCAGTGCGCATCAAGCAAGAAGCCGTGGACGATGACGAGCCCATGGATCGTTCCCCAACACCGCAAGAAGAACTGTTCGTCGCTCAAGCCCCGGCAAGGGAGCGCGCAAAGGACTCGCAAGGCCGCACTTTCTCCACGCAGTGTTTCGGTAAGTGTGGTGGCTAGAAGGCATCTTCTTCGGTATCGTTCACTGACGTCTTTGACAGAGGCGCCTTATCTGCACCGCCCTCACTTCCATCGCCTCAAGTGCGGACATGACATCGTCACCGTCGAGCCCGAAATCTGTGGTTCGAATTGCATGCCCGCCACTCGAGACACAGGATCAGATCTGAAGGCAGCTTTCAAGCCTTTCGAGTGTCCGGATCCGAGTCATTACGTTGACAAGCAAGTGTTTGCGCCGAAGAAAAACCCAAAGACTGGTCGCCAAATCAAGGGCCGGGTCTGTCAACTAGGCCACGTGCGCGGTCGTAGCCAGGAGGCCGATAACCAGTGGGAAAAGCAGAAGTCGGAGTTGGCACAGTTAAAGAGCCGGAGCCTGCATCCCCCTGAGAAATACAAGGCGCTCTTCCGCAAGACCAGTCAATCTCCTGAACGCCGAGAAGATCCTCCGATCAAGAGCTCGCGACGTCGTGCTTCGACAATCGTGACAGCAGACGAGCTCAACGCTAGTATGGACAGCGCCACCAGAACTCTCCTTCTTGCGCAGAACGGAAGACAGACTCGACGTATTCGAGGCGATCGGCTCGAAACAGAGACAGACAGAGTCTTCGATGATGCAGAACGCAAGATTGGTATGATGGGTTTCGAGAACGTCGCACCGGCTAAGCGCCGATCGCGTCCAGCTAAGAGCAAGAAGAGCAATACGCCCGCCATCTCCACCTCAACGCATCCAACGAGAGCTTGCGATGTTTGCGGCGAATGCGGCAAAGCCTTGACCGAGGAGCTGTACCGCTGCCGACAGTGCACGGAAAATAACTCGGAATTCATCCTGTGCGGTTCATGCAACGCGAGCGCTTACCATCTTCATTTGAGAGATCACCCAAGTCACCTCTTGGTGCTTGAAGATGTTCGTGGTGGAGAATGGTCAAATGTCGGAGAAGCCAAGGAACCTTTCGCAACGCATTGCACATGCCGCTCGATGGACCTGCAGTACATGCTACAGTGCGACACGTGCAGCAAGCCTTTCCATCCAGGCTGTGTCGGAAAAGGTTTTCAAGGCGAGGCGCACTATGATTTGCCCGACCGCGACGAGTTCCTGAAGGCTGACTTTGAGCATTTCCGGCAAGCTCAGGATGAGGTCTTCACATGCAAGAAATGCGATGCTCTTGACCTCTTCGAGAACGGGATTGCGAAGCAGAGAAAGCGGGACAGACTCCACGCAGACTTCTTGCTGCAGTACATGCCAAAACTGATGATTCAGAAGGGCGTGATGATGAAGAGAGCAGTGTCGGATGAACAGAGAGCTCTTGTCGATTCTCACTTCGCTGCAATCGAGGAGGAGATGAATGAGGGCAAAGTCTTGACCGACGAGCACTGGAGAGCACTGCTGGCCAAATCTCAGCAGATCAATTTCCCGCCTCCAAAGCCGCAGAAGCGCGATGCGATGGAAATGGACGAGCCGATGGAAACGGACGAGCCGATGGAAACGGACGAGCCGATGGAAACGGACGAGC